CTCGTAGAACTCCGTCTCGTGGCCGCCGTCCTGCTCAAGCAATTCAAGGTCCGCTTTGCCGACGGGCATGATCCTGAGACTCTATGGCGCGATTTGAGGGATCAGGTCACGGCGCAGCCCGGGGAGTGTTGGTGTGTTTTCGAGCCGAGGGAGGCTGGAGCCTGAGGGATGGAACGAGAGGGGAAGGTTGGGTTTGGAGGTGGAGGTGGTGGTGGTGCAAAATGAATCAATGAATGGAGACGAAGAAGAAGGAAATTGAAAGGTAGGGCCGTCGGGAGTCTCCGTTTGAAGTCTGGGGTAAAAATGGACAATGTCGAATCAATCAATCAATTCATCTCTTTTTGTTCTCTCAATGGATATTCATATCTCTCGGTACAAGCACGGGGCAAGCTATCCAATCGGTATTGGAAAGAAAATTCGCTTCGAACACTACAAACACTAAAACCAAAACACATCGTCCGCTTTCTCGTATGCATCTAAATATACATACATGCCAGGATAAACCTCTTCATGCCCAATAAGTTAGGAATCATGTATGTCGGGAGGTCTAGATTCATGGGCTTTTTTAGGGTATTCGAGGCCTTGAGGTCAGAACACATGGGGCCCGAAGTTGCCGGATCATATTGAGGTGTGGCTCTACGACAGACTGATTCGGGATTTTTGGATTCCCTGCAGCCCCTTGCTGATCCTTCTACCCCCTACCCAATACTATATGTGAGAGTGTGTGAAAGGAAGACTTAATTGATTGGGTTTGGTGTGTGTGAGAGGGTGTGTTGGGAGGGTGTCGTAAGAGGACGTCTTATTAAGAGGGTGGCATAAGAGGTGTGCTGGGAGGATCTTATAAGATGTCTTAAGGAGGTGTCTTGAAAAAGTACATATAAGAGGATGATGTATTAAGAGGATGTATTAAGAGGATGCCTTAAGAGAGTGCATACGAGAGTGTCCCCAACAGGGTATCTTAACACGATCTCGGATTTTCAAAATGGATTTGAATTGACCTGAAGCCCGTAATAATCCGCCATAGGTCTCATCTCAGGCCATCCATGTCTGTCCTGCCAGTCCCATCCCACCACTTATTTACTGGAAGGCTTGGCGGACAAAGCAGGGGTGAGCAGCAACGCAACCAGACCAAAAGAGGGGAATATTTATTGAATCGGCCACATCACGCTCAAATCATGGAGGATTCTCATGTTTTTTTTTGGAGGACGGTGCATCAGCTATCTTCTATATATAATTTAGGTCGTCATGTTTTGGATCCAAGATCACAAACAGGATGAATAATTGTAGATTTAAATCCCCAACTGAAAGTGTGGTCTCTCTAAAGACTTCAGCGACCCGTCTAGATATAGTACTGTGATGTTAGTACTGTTGCGTTGCTGGTCACCCTTCGTTGGGGTACTACTACGCTTTGATGTTTACAATTCACTCAAAGTGAATGTGGTCCAAATGTGCAGACGAGACCGCATTGTGATGAAACTTGATTTCCATTGTTCCAAGGTGTTTTCGTTATGTAAACACCTTCAGTGATCAAGTATTCTTGATGGACCTGAGTCAATTTGTAACCCCTTCATCGCTATGCATGTGTGCCCGCTGTGGTATTAGTCCAGTTTTCACGTCCATACCGCAGAAAATCAAAGTCCCTTGCGGATCTGGTGGCCGACCATGTGCCTTCTGCCTCTTGCTTCTATTAAATGCTGCTTCGCTGAAATATGTACATATAAAATTCATCTTGCGACCTACCTACCGCACCAACGGCATCATGTACAGCATCGCCGTCCACAGGCACCACAGCTGCCAAGTCCGTCGATCCGTCTTCTTCCCCTTCATGGCCACGCACCGCCAGGCCGTATATGTTCCTAGCATCATGGGCGCGGCCGCCAGCCAACCCAAATGCCAGAAGTACGCACAGTAAGCCGTCCAGAACGGAATGGGGGCCGCGATAGTCCAGCGGGCGGGCAAATCTCCTAGAACGAGCGGTGCCGTTTTCCGTCCGCGTGCTCGGTCACCGGCCTGGTCTTTGAGGTCTTGGACATGCATTGTGGTAAGGATGACTCCGCTGATGATAATGACCCATGTATACCCTTCGCTTGTGATCTCGGTCGAGGTCGAGTGTGTAGTTCCCGTCGCGGCAACTCTCAGAGAACCCATGTTGAAACATGCAAACGCGAAAGAGATAATGATATTCCGAAAGATCCAGCCTTCGTCTCCACCTCGAAGATCATTGTACATCCAGGTCAAGATGTAGATGAGCGCGGTTTCGGACGACACAGTAAGGACATAATGATTGAATGCGAGGACGAGAGGGAGAGCGAGGAGCATCGACTGTCTAATCTGTGAAGAGGTCATACGGCCGCTAGGTACAGGCCGCCAGGGCTTGTTGAGGGCATCTTCTTTTGCTGATTCTGGCAGACGTTGATTCGCTAGATCGAAGATGAGGAGGTTCGACCAATTGAAGAGAAATACCCATGGAAGTCGTGTGAGGACCGTGGTCGAGGTATAGTCGTGGATGATGAGACGTGACCCTGCAAGGGCACCGCAGATGCCGAAGACGGTGTTTGGGATGACGAATGTCGGGTTGTCATCTTTGGTGAGAAGCCAGAGGTTATGAGGGATATCTGTAAGTCGTTCTGGAAAGCTGCGTAGTGCCGTGGGTATGGACTTGGGTTGCTTGTCCATACCCTCTGCACAGATCTTTTCCGGTCCCCAGTCGGACTCGACCAGGTGAACTCTTGCATCATCCCTACTAGTCAGTGTCAGAGACATGATACACGCCGTCGTGTGGAACATATGGACATGTAAGATGTCGTCCAGACCGAACAAACACATCAATCCGTGTTGCCAAGATCTCGAGTGACATACGCATCGAGGCTCTCCATCGGTATTGTGTCATGCATCCGCCGCCGCCAACTGGAACACGGATGTGTTGAACCTCCAGAAGAGCATTTGCCCTGTCACAATTTCCGAACTGTCTTGCCTTAGCCACTATAGCACAGAACATAAGAAGCCAAGCCTTTACGCCATGGAGGGATTTTCATGAGCGGCATTATAAGCCAGTACCTATCAGCTTGGAGCAGACGCTAATGTGAGGACTGAGTAGTAGGAAGCTCCTAGCGTCTGATGCCTGCTTAGTATCAGAGTCCATTTGGATGGACTGAGGGCACTGTGCGTGGAGCATTCCCCAGCTCTCGTTGGGGGAAAGAAGAGTACAGAGACACAACTCGACCCATGTCCGCTGTCTCTTCCCACCCTCACACTCGGTGTCCTGGAGCGAGGTGCAACTGGTGTTGCATAAAGAGAGTACGAAGCACAGTGCGTCTTCCCTGCCCGACAAGGCGGTTTCATGGCGATCCTTCTTAGGCAAGCCGTGGAGTCATTTTCCTACCGTGTAGGACGGGAGTAAGACCGGTGTATTTGGTGAAACCACCACGATGGGGATGGCTTTGGGACGTAATGTCAGTCTACTGGAAGCCATATGCAGTAGCTAAGATGCAGGGGTGGTTTTGTCGCAACGAAGAGCACTAGGTGTATTACAGAGTAGGAACTTCTTGTCTTGTCCGTGGCCATGCCGAACCCTGAAGTTTCAACCATAAGCAAGGAATGCTGGAATGGTGACTGAGCTCTGGCTCGGGTAGACTCGGCTAATACTTGAGCCGACGTCGCCGATATCCCAGCCAGTTAGGGAGCCAGTTAGGGAGCCTGTTGCCAAATGATGCTATGCTAGGAAGTGTGTCTTGGGGTGGGCTGGCCGAGTAAGACTCAGGTTCTATGCAGGGTTGTCTGGTCCTCCGACTCATTGACAAGGTAACCCCCTTGTGCCGAGGGATGTCAGTTTGTGTAACAAACCACTAATAGCCCACTTGATACTGCAACGGCCCTGTCCCTGAATTGGTAGCATTGCCGCCATTCAACGTCATAATTTTGCTACAACCTTGGCAGAAAGAACACCAAAATTTAGTATGCTGTGAACTTCTGGATTGCGTAGAACTCTAATCATCAGACTTGAGATCTTGAAAAGAGTGTCATTGGATATTCCTTAGAATTCTGAACATTTGTACAACTTGAAACTGATATGAATCGTTTTCTGAAGTATATGAATTCTGAATAAATTGTACTTGAAAGAATTTGGTGTTCCTTCTGCTAAGGCTTAGGGTTTAGAATCGCGGTAATGCTATAACCAACAAGGAAGCTCACCAATTCAGGAACACAGGGGATAATGCAATACCAATTACAGATTATTTGTATTTCTTAAGTCATGTTCCAGCACTATGGAGCGCTGTACTATCGGGTTAAATCACTAACATCTTTGTCTTCTAGATATGGTCAATCGGAAACCCTTGTTTAGGTTCATATGAGCATTTACTAGATTCTTTTCCAGTTTATGGCATGTTCAGCTGTTGTTCCACCTTGCGAGATTTACTGCTCGAGTAGATATAACCAAGTCTTGTCAGACCCCCCAAAAAAGTTATTTAACTTACGGTCCTCTGAGGGCCGCGGTCCTTTTGGTCCAACAAATCTGAACGGAGCTATATGGTGACTTCACATTGCAGGCCTAGAAAGCGATCCCGAATGAATATGGCTGACTATAAATGCGATAGCAAGCCATACCTCATGGTTAAGACTCTGGTGAGAAGGTAGTTGAGCTGGAAGTGGAAGGCATAAACTCAATTCTCGACACTAAAAGCAGCTGCACAGTGGTGATACCGCACATCAAAGCAGATATCTGGCGAGAAGAGAACTGGAGCCAAAGGAGTTCTACCAACCCTCAAATTGTGGTAGTTATAGCTCCTAACGTCTCTCGAAAGCTCGTGCAATTACTAGCGGTGCCGCAAGGTCATGTTGACTTTCTTCGAGCCACTTGGACAGATTCAAGATGAGAATAATGGAGTCCAATCAGAGTCTCCAGAACTATGTGCATTGTCTGTGTCTTTGTGTGCCACATTTTCTCCAGTAGCGTAGAGAAACATTGTATGGAAGCTTGCTGGAGAGGGAAAATATTTCCCGCAAGCAGCCAAATCAAGTGGCTATTATAGCCAAACCCCTTATATCTCTGTCTGAAGCTGCTTCCTCATGTTCTGCTGCTGCGATAGTATTCTCTCATAGTCTCCAATGCGCAAAGCTCCAGCGTTCCACACAACCAAAGCCTGAATGCTGCTTCGCCCAGTCTCCATTGACATCAGTCCTGGAACGTGTCCCCTATTCCTGGTCGGCGCACACTTAGAGACGTAGCCAATGATGTTCAACCATGTGCCGCTTTGTAACTCGTCTGGCCTGAGAGATTCGAGGACGAGGGAGAGGTCTACTCTGACTCGAGGAACTTGAGGCAAATCCTGTGGATAAGCATGTTCGAGAACGAGAAGGGCTGTCAAGACATCATAGCTAGCGACGCTGATGTGTCGGTACAATCAGTACGGAAGCAAGAAATTACTCATGGATTCTTTTACCAGCCCAGGAAGCGCACTTTGGTGGCTGTATGTTGCTTAGCTATCTCATGGAGGAAGATATGCCTGCTTGGCAGAGGACCATAGGTGACTCCACTCATTTTTATATGTCATTTCGGGACTTTGCCTACTAACTTGACGGTATTTGGGAAGGGTTGTCTGTGTAGCATTGGAAATTGTCATTGCCGTAACTTAGGCGGTTGAATGAGCCGAATTTCAACCGAGATTGTCAACATCCCAATGCTCAGATCTTGATCTTCTTGATGTTGACAAGGAATGTTTGCCAGATGCATCAGGCGATTTCTCCTTCCTAGTCGGCAGTCGCTGAGCTCAAGACCAGGTATAGCCGCTGTATCGACAACTGCAGAGTCCTTTATATCACCGGTTCTGCTCAAACGTGCTCGAAGCATTGCGGAAGAACACACAAAGCTTGCCAACCAGAATGCGGAGAACTACGATGTTGCAACAGCGAGGAAGATTGGACAGTTATCCACGGTGACAGCTGCGCTCGCAGAATGGGATAATGCACAGAATGTCAGTTCTTCAGCTTTGCTATACTTCTTCGCAGCAGCGGCATCGTACTAACAGAGCCTTTGGCAGTCCATCAAAGAGTTGAACTCTCTTCTTTCAGACCCCACTAGCGACAGCGAAATCAAGAGTCTCGCCTCCGAAGATGTCGCAGCTACGTCTGCTACGGTTCCGCGCCTCATCTCTCTCCTGAAGCGATCCCTCATCCCGCCTCGCCCCTTCGCATCCCTCCCCTGCCTGCTAGAGATCCACCCCGGCGCTGGCGGCTCCGAAGCCTCCCTCTTCGCCGCCGAGCTCCTACATATGTACACTACGTTCTGTGCGAACAAAGGCTGGAAAACCGAGCTCGTCAAATACGAAGCCGATGAAAGTGCTCCGGGCTCTGAAGAAGGTCTCACTGATGCGGTGCTCGAAGTCACACAACCCGGCAGCTACCACATGCTGAAAGGCGAAGCGGGCGTTCACCGCGTCCAACGTGTCCCCACCACCGAAAAAAAGGGCCGCACTCACACCAGCGCCGTCAGCGTTCTGGTCCTGCCCAGCCTCCCCGCCCCTGGCTCAGCAGGAATCGAAGACACGGCACTCAATTTCGAAGACCCAAACAGCGACTACTATATCAACCCAGGCGAAGTCCGAGCGGAAACCATGCGCGCTCGTGGTGCAGGAGGCCAACATGTTAACAAGACCGACTCTGCTATTCGGCTGACCCATGGCCCCACCGGGATCGTAGTAGCGATGCAAGAGTCGCGCTCCCAGCACAAGAATCGCGAAAAGGCATGGCAGATTCTCCGGGCCAAGCTGGCGCAGAAACGACGCGAAGAGCGCGAAAACGAGCTCATTGATCTGCGCCGGAAGATCATGGGCGGGGTGTCCATGACGGGCAGGGAAGACAAGGTGAGGACGTACAATTACAGTCAGCAGCGAGTTACGGATCATCGATGTGGCAGCGAGACGGGAAGCCTGCCGGATGTGCTGGAGGGTGGGCAGGCGCTGGAGAAGATCATGCGTGATGTTGGCGAGTGGATGCAGGAGCAGGAGATTGCTGTGCTAGCAGCAGAAGAGGAGGTGAAGGCGAGCGAGTTGAAAAGTCAGAAGGGCAGGAGGACGTGAAGAGTGAAGCCCATATTTATCTAGAGGATGTTGGTCTTGGAGGAAGAAGATCTATCAGCTGTTAAGAGCACTTGCTCCATCGCCTTCCACGCCAAACCTGGTCGCTTCCAACTGATCAAGAGAAGCCGGGCTTTCAAACCCATCCCTGCGCCTTCACTTTCACCCCAAAACATGAAAAGGAGACAGAGCAGTAGAGCATTATCGATTTGAAGCGCCATTCACTATATGCCAGGGTATCTGTCTATGCATTGTTCATACAAGCCATGGAAGTGAAAACAGCAGGTGCAAGCAAAGCCATAACACCGTCCGCGCCAGCCTCCATCCCATAATTCCTTGCCATTATGGAACCATCCACCTGCTTCCATGTAACAATATCAGTCCCTCATATATTGCCCCCCTCTATCGATTTACGACCGACGTCTACCGATCAACCTCCCCATTCCCATCTTGACCATCATCTCCCTCCACCTCCTCGCCAACCAGCTCATCCAGCTCCGGCGTGACAAAAAACTCATGATTCAGCGCCTCCTTCGCACTCAACCTCTTCTGCGGATCCAGCTCCAGCAACCCCTCCAGAAACGCAATAGCCTGGCCCTCGGCCCCGCTCAGGGGCCCCTGCTCCTTCTCCCGGCAACTAGCCCACACCACGATCCGCTCGAGCGTGAAGCCCTTGTCGCCGATGGTCTCGATGTTGGTCTCGAAGACGGAGCCGTGCATGGCGGCGCAGACCTTCATGCGTTTGCGGCCGAAGATGCTGGCGATCTCGATCATGGCGTCGACGTCGTCGGTGGAGTTGAAGAAGGGGAAGCGGCGCGCCAGCAGGGTCAGCAGGATCACGCCGGCGGACCAGATGTCGATCTTGGTCGTCTGCGACGTGCATTTGAAGAGCACCTCGGGCGCGCGGAAGCCGCGCGTGC